GGGGGGTGCCCTTTATACCCGTCCCTCTTCCCCGCTGTTTTTCTTTCCCTCTTTCTTTCTCCCCTTTCTTTTCCGCAGTCAAGTCTGTCCCGTATTTAGCAAGTGAAAATAAAATAATATAAACAATAAAAGGTGAATCAAATAGACCATTACGGCAAGGCTGGGATGGTCCATTAGGTAAAGTAAATACGTTGGGCATCTTTCTTCACCTTTGGACAATAATTCTGATGGCAAAAGAGCCAAATGGGACAAGCAAAAAAATAATAATAATAATAACAATAATAATAATAATAATAATAATGATAATAATGATGATGATAAGCAGTGAATAAATGCAGAGAGGTGTATACAGTCACAGTGACAAGCTTTGATTTAAAGTGACAACACAAAGAAGCAAAAAGAAAAAGGCTGAACGTAAAGCTGCAGCAGGTACTGTAAGTGTTTTAGCATCCTGCACCCTCTCAGTGGCTTCTTATCACCTGCTTTTTATTATGCCTGTTCTGTTGCTTAGGACTGCTAAATAGCGGCGTATTGTCACTGTCCTAATGAAATGAGGGCTCATAAAACATAATGAAATCAGGCTTTATGGGCGAGCAGAGCTGAGCTGTGGAACCACAACGAGGGAGCAGGAGAGATATGAACTGTGTTCCATAAGAGATGAATGTAGAGCATGCAAAAGTGGAGGTGAAACACGACACAGGGAGGAGGAGGAGGAGCAGGGTGAAGGCATGGGTGAATGGTGGCTCTGTAAGGCCGATGAGCTCCTGGATTGTGCATTGTTCAGCCTCCCAGCAGCCAGCGCAACCACTGCTCAGTCATTCAGCACGTGCGCAGATCCACCTTTATAATCAGAGGTCAGAAGTCAGCCATGCTCTGATGCTGTTGCAGCACATCACTATCACTTTTTCAGCGTTCCTCCCACTCTGATGTTTTTATATACTCAAAAGAAATGAAAACAATGTGTTATAATGGGAGTATATGGGTTATATTGGGAGTACATAGTTTATAATGGGAGCATATGGGTTTTAATGGGGAACCAGGAGAACCCTCAGACTTTGCGGTTAAAGAAACATCTGATATCAGGTGTAAAACCCTAATTT